GGCGGCGCGCGGAGCCGCGGCGCGCAGGGCCCGCGCCGCCCGCCCAAGGTCACGGCTTGCGCGGGCGCGGGGCCGGCCACACTCGGGCTCCGGCCTCGGCCTCGGCCCCCGCTCTGCGGTGCCAGCGGTGTCTCCGGGGCAGCCCCGCACACGGGAGCCCGGGCCGCGGCTCCCGGCCCCGCTTGGCCCCCCGCTGGCAGCCCCGCTGGGGAGGGAGCCGTTCCTGCGGCTCCCCTTCAGCCATTTTGCAAATTGGCCAGCCCTCTGAAGGAAATGGAAGCCGCCTGCCTCCTCATCCTTCTCCTCCTTGGTCTTTGTGTAGACACGCAGGGTGGCCAGCATGCCACCATGCCGCCAAGTGTGGTGGTATGAGTTGAATGGGGCTCTCCGTTGGAGAACCTTCCAGACCAACCTCAGCAGTGGCCTTATGTGGCCATGTGCCCCTAGAGGTGCTGCAGGCCTTGGTGGCTTCCCATTGGAGAACCTTCCAGATCGTTTCCAGCCTCACGTGGTCCTGTGCCCCTGCAGGCACTGGAGACCTTGGCAGCTTCCTGTTGGAGAACTTTCTGGGCTGTCTCCAGGCTCATATGGCCGTGTGCCCCAGAGACGCTGCAGACCTTGGCAGTCTCCCACTGGAGAACCTTCTGGACAGTCTCTGATGTCTGGCACACATGGCTGTGTGCCACAGAAGAACTTAGCGGTCTCCCCACACAACAGGTCCAGGCTGAAGGCCACCCCTGCTCAGGACCCACCACTGCCCTCAAACATTTCCCGCTCATGGCTGTGTAAGCTGAGGAGGTTTTTCTAGACCAACCAACCTGGCTGTTATTCAAGATGAACCTGCAAATTGTTAGCCTTTTCCAACCAATGTAGCGGAGACTTGAGGAGACAGAAACCAGCATGTGGGAGCGGGCTGGTGAAGCTCCGCGACCACGAGCTGCTAAAGGACAGGGCTTCTCCGTGGTGGAATCTGCTCAAGTAGCAAGCCCTGCAGCTCCCCAGTGAGGATTTGTGCCAAGAGGTAAAGTGTGAGCCCCTTTGCAGTATTACCTCTTGAGAAGCAAGCGTGTGATCAGATCTTGCTCTGATTGCCCCTCCGTGTCTTGATTCTGTAGGTATCCTACTGTAATTCTTATCCATGGTTAGACTCCATGTCTTTGCTTTAGGATTCATCTACATGGAGCAGTTGGGAGCAACATTGAACACCATGCAGCCTGGCTTTGCTGTGGTAGTAGCTTATGTTCCTCTTCGTTTGGTTGTTCATTTTGTTTTGATTTTCATCTTTGGATTTCAACCATTTGTGCAACTCTGCACTATGTGTTCACGTGAGACTCAGCACTGTCCATGCTATTACCGAAATTGTAGATTGGAGCTGGTTATGGAGTATAAGGTTATGGAGTATATGGAGTATAAGGTTATGGAGCTGGTTGTATGAGTCCGGGTAATGGATGTTGGTGGATTGAACACTGAATAATTTTTGAGATTTTGCTTACAACCAAACATTCTAGCAAATTCCACCAATGGTAGGACTTAAGACTCTTCCAGCTGGAAGGATTCCTATTGAAAATATTGATAATGGATATTTTGAATGCTGCCCCCTTTTCTCACAACAGTAGGAAATAGCTCACATAGATAAGTGTCTTGATTGAACCAATCAGCCAAACTGTGAATATTACCCCTGGTGATTATGAACTTGCCAGCTAACTAGTTTAGTATTGACTTATAGTTCAATATAAACTATCTTATAGTAGTTCGGAGCTTAGAGGTGTTTATGGTTCATGTGGTCTGCTGGATGATGCGATAATTTTGAGTTCCTAAGGACAAGCCACTGTGCTTACGTAAAGCCTCATAGTTTTGTATCTTAACTAAAAGAGCCGGAGGTTTGATCTCTGCTTGCCAATTTGCCAGCAAACTGGATTTTAGAGATTTTATATTTGATCAATATAAATATTTGATCAATATAATTCTCTTGTTGAAAGGACTAAGCAATATAAATTAGCAAATTTAGTAATTAATGCAGCAAAAAATTCATAATCCCCAAGAAATACATAAGTTAATGATCACACTTCAGAGTTTGTCCTTGATTCTTTTTCAGAAAACAAAATGATTATTTTGACTTATGATAACTTTAACTTATGATAAACTGAGGGTTTTTGGTTTTTTTTTGGTGTGTTTACAGTGGCAAATTAGCTCTGCAGATTACTCATTGAGCAGACTATTTGTTAGATGTGTAGACATGTGAATATATTACTCTTCAAAATCTGCTGTACACCTACTGTTTTGCCTCTTTGTATAACAGTAAACAAAATGGCAGTCAAACCCAGTGAGTCATTTTTTGAATGGGCTCCAAAATAGCCTTTTCTAAAATGCTTGCCTTTCTTTGCAATTGTAACTGGCATAAAAGATATCTTGAACAAATTAAGACATATCCCTTTGCAAGCTGTAGAAGAATATATGTCCAGTGTTTCATGATAGGTCTAATAATTTGCCTGGTCCATCTGGGCTCCATGTTACTCCATTCTCAGACAACTAAGCCAAGAA